TTCTTTGTTAATTGGATGCATTTAAGCCATTTGGTAGGTGTGAAAGAGGTTTTCTTTCCTTTTAGAGAAATTCCCCCTTTTTTTTAATTTTTTTTTTTTTTACTAGCTATGTTTCCATTTATTTTTACTACTATTTTCTAGTTGTGTCTGGAGGTACAAGGTGTACCTGAGGTAATGGAGTCCTACCTGTCAGGGTAGCGTGGAGCAGCCCTGGCCTGGCTGCTGTGCAGCACGGCCTGAGCACACTGCAGGCCACCAGCCTTGTCTCCTCTTGCAGGGTCTCAAGCTCCTTGGGAAAAACTTTCACCTGGGGACCCTGGTAACTGTAGGAATTACAAGTTGCCATCCTTCTAGTTGGCAAAGATGGATCGTCCTGTTTAAGAAACAGGAACGCTTTTTGTTTGTTTGTTTTTAGTAACAAAACAAACCAAAGCTTGGTTCCTTTTTAGATACACATTTACAGATGTTGGGCAGTAACTTGGTATCAGCAGATCAACATCATGATATGTGTTGAAATCTTAAAACATTAAAAAGAGGCAACAGAAGAGAAACATACTATTGTTAACAAAATTGCACTTGAGGCTGTTGGGTTGTAACATGATTGTTGCCTTTCCTGAAGATTATTACAGCAAATACTTAAATAAACTTCAGTTAAAATAGTGGTGTCTTTTTTGACACGCAATGAATAACTTGTCCTCCAAGAGTAATACTAAGCTAAATGGGTTTGTATTATTTTTTAATACAAGGCTGTCCTTTACTAAAATTAACATTATTTCTTAATTAACTTTTAAACATTATTTTTTGGTAACTAATAGAAATGAGATGCTTTCAGTGTTTGAGGACAGCTCTCTGAGATCATTGCAAACTGATATATTTTTAGTGCCCCATTATACAAAATATATTTATTTTTTAAATTGAAGTGATGGTCCATCAGGTTTATCGAAAGCTTCTCTTTAGGTTACTACTATTTATGCTTGAAAGTATATTGGGTGGAACTAGAGCTTAAGAGTTATTAGGGGCTTTTGAGATCACTTGTGTTAAGTTTTAGCAGGGAGATGTTGTTTGGATATGCAAAGGATGGGGAAGGTGAAAGGTGGCTGCCATCACAAGTGGTGACCAGTGTCTGCTGCTCGGAGTGCTTAGGAGTGAAAAACCTTCACAGGAGAGGAACTTCTTAACTGTTTTGGAAAGTTGGTGTCCTACAGTGTTAGGCATCAGCTGCACAAACAAAACATCTAGGGAGACTCTATGTGCTCTTCAGGATGAGATGAATAACTTCACTTTTTTTCTGTATATGTAGGCTAGAAGTTCCCAGTTGTCAGAAGATGCCCATTAGCATTTTCAGAATTGGTATGTGTCACAGTGGTATATTACAACAGCATTTTAATTAAGCTTTAATAGTATAAAGTATCATTTGTCAGGTACTCACCAAACTGAACTCTACAGTTACTGAATTTGCTGTTAAATTCTAAATGAATACATGTACAAATTTTCTGTGGAAGGTAAGTTGTGATTCTGACACACCACAGAGTGAATAATAGATGATTATTCCCAACCCACTTTTACCACTCCGTAATAATAGTAAATATTGAAAGTAAATATTAAAATTCAAAGCAGCATTCCTGAAGTACATACCCATATCAGAATCTTATCAGTAGTCAGGTCATACAGTCCAAATGTGTATTTTATAAATTTTTATTAAGATGGCAGCTGATTTGATTGATATAAAGAAAGAAATTGGAACAAATTATTTTGTGGGAGCAAATAAATGGGTTAATTATGTATTTGTTTTGAGGTGGCCGCAATTAAGATATAGCGGCTTGATGGGGAATTTATTGGTTTGGGGTTTTCTTGTTTTTCTTTTTATTTTTTTCTTCAGAAAGGGGAAGTTATCTTTGCTCCACTGCTTGAAGTTGGTTTAAGAGAGACAAAATTTTCTATGGCAGGGATGAACAAAAGAGGATCAGATATGATGAGGATCACAGTTTAAAGTTTGTGGGACATGGGTGCCAGGAGGGAGGCAGTGGATAGTTATAGGATAGTTATAGGGCTGCAATTGATCAGCTGATAAATATGGTCCTGATCTGCTTCATCTGCATGGGCCAAGATGGGGTATATTTTAAATTATTAGTTCAGCTGAGTTTGTATATTTATAGTGCTATGTATGCTGGGATATTTTTTTTTAAGATGCATGTAACATGCTTGTTTAAAAAAATACAGCAGCTGACTATGTTGGCCTGCATCAACGCAAGCATTACCGTATTTTTTTGTTATATTAAATTAAGACCTGCTCTATGCTTAGGGCTTTTTTTATATATGTTGGGTATGCTTTTTATTAACATAATTGTAATAGTGATAATTGTTAATGTGGGGGTATAAATAAATACGTTGATACAAGTGTACGTTTCCTAAGAATAGTATAAGCTATGGAAATGAGAATAAAAGATACTGATCTAAGGATAAGGTAATGTAAATGTCTGTATATGCATTGGAAGAAAAAGGACTCCTGATTATGTTAATTTAGTTTTTAAAAAAATATAATCCTGTGCCTTCTGTATATGTAGAAGGTTTGTTCTGACTCACCTGGCACATTTTGGGAAGAATACCCTTGTTCTCCTAGTCAGGATGGCCAAATTGACTTGTTCATTTTGAGCTTTCAGGAAGTACTTAAATCTGATATAAAAAATGAATACATGTTTTAGATTTGAATAAAGACATTTTTAGAGAGGGTGTAACTCTTATTTATCTACCTGAGGGCCATATGCCTCAAGGAAAAATCTGCATTGTTCAGAGCTTTGCTATAACTCGCTGATGGTGAAAGGCAAACACGAGGCTCCAATTTAGTGTTACTCTTATTTCACATTAGTGCTTTTGAATGTGTCTGATGGTTGATGCTTTTGAATAAGAGTGGAATAAATGCCATTTTTTCTGCAGTGAGTCACTTTCAGTTACCACCATTTATATCCTTACTTTTTTTTTTTTTTTAAGGTGGCATTAAAGATTATTTGGATGAAAACTTGATACTGGCTGTTGGGTCCTAAACCTGTATGCTTGACTCTGTGAACACTTCACACCTGCAGGTTCTTGACTGTCCAGATCATGTGGCAAAATATTTCATTTAAAATCTACTTCTCAAGCAGTACCTAAAACAATTAACAAGAAACAGAAATCAAGTAACTGTGTGACAGCCTGTCCACTGAAGTAACACTCTTGAGCTCATCCAGTCATTGAAGTGTAGGAGAAGGGCATGCTCTCAAGCCTGGCTTCACTGTTTGATGCTTCTTCCCTACCCCCAGCTCCTCTTCTGTCTTTCAGCCTTCAAGCATTCTTTCTTTCACCCCTTTTTACCTCTTCTGTGTATTGATTTCTGATGTGACTCTGGGTCTGATAGTTCTTTGCTTGTGCTGCAGCTCGACCAAAGAAGTTGTTAGCGATGCAGGTTCATAGCAGCAACAGTCAGGGGGCAAAATGTCTCTTGAAATTGAAGTGGGCAAACTAATTGTCTTGAAATGCTACCTTTTTTTTTTTTTTCCTAAAAAGTCAAACTTAAGTTTGTGATCTTGTTTTGTTTTTTTCCCCATTCCTCCTGCTGCTGCTGCTATGAAGCCTTTTGAATATCGAAGGTTCCCGAGTCAGACGGAAGACAGCGGTAGCTGAGGTGGATTAACGCTGGAATGTAGTCAGGGATTGGAGCACTTGGGAGCTATGCTTAGACAGAAAGGGAAAGAGGTAAGAAATGTGAAGTGGTAAGACTGATTTTAAGCTCATGTTTACGGACTTTACCCAATCGTGTAATGCCAGCATTTGTGCAGAGCGTGTGTGAAGTGGGGGTAAGGCAAAGGAAAAACAATTAGCGTCAGCCTACTTCACCGACTATTTTTACACGTTAAATACTCAGACGCCAGCCAGTTGGCGAGATCCCTTCCATGTCTAATCTATCCACTATCTGGAAAAGCGTGTATTGGCAGGGGTTTGGATGAGCTTGTATAAAAGTATTTGTACGCTCTCTTTTGTTTTGTTGATCTGTTCTGCCACTTCGACCAGCCTGCAAGCAGTGCATTTTACTGGTGGGGACACACTAAGGGATGCAGTGTCACTACTGGCTGAAATGTGTCCGTGTCTGTGCTGCCCCTGGAAGGAGGGGTAGGATGGGCCACGCTTCCTGCCACCTTCCTTTTGCCAGTCCTAGCACTTGTGTTTAGGTGAGGGAAGGAACCACTCTGCCTGAAAAACACTCCTTTTCAGTTGGATCAGGTCTGGCCTCTGGCTGTTGACACAGTGGTGATGGCAGGAAAACATGGCACAGAGAGGACAGGGCTACCGCTTTCACTTGCAGTCCGATCTGATCTTTCACAATCAGTGTTATCCAATCATCAATTACGTATATATTGATTACGTGCTTTGTTCTCACACATTTTACAGAGATTTCTGTGCCCCTTTTTTAATTATCCAAATGGGTTTGTGAGCTTTAGATTGAAAATGTCAAGATTATTCTTGATTTAATTTAAATGGTAGCTGTTAATTTGTGAAACACGCTTATATTTCCAAAATAACTTTTATTCTGGGGTTGTTCATGCTTAGGTACAATCTAGATGAGGATTATTTCGGAATTGTAGAGCATTTTCATGCAGCCTTTTTTCCTGATCACTGAAGTGTGGATATCATGGTGTAAGCAAATAATATCCATCGTGCTTCAGTGATCACCAGTCTCGATTTCGAATTTCAGCAAGACGTGCAGGCTTTATTACATTTCAAACTGAAATCTTTAAGAAATAGCCCTAAACAAGTGAGGCTATCATATTGAGTTTGTATATTACATATTGATTTCACTGCATGTATGTGGATGCATATAAACGTTTATCTTTTGAGATCTTGAACAGTCACAAACAGTATTATTTAAGATGGCAGTAGGTGTGTAAGCCTACTTCTTGAGCTGCTAGTGCCTCTAATTTAAAATTTCCTATACACTGAAGTACAGCATACCCTAGAGAATGGATGCAATTTAAAACTGCTTTCAGAATATGGTAGAGATTGCCAGAATTGACACGTTTTTTTAATCGTGTGTGTTCAAAAGATCCTTCTTTAGAAAATGTTCAAATTTAGCTAACGGCATTCCTTAACACACTTCAGCCTGTGTCATCAAAATAAGAAAACCCAACAGAAATTCCCAGCAGAGTGTAAGGTAGCAGATTATTCATCAAGAATAAAAATAAGGAGTTGTGGTTCCCAGAGCAATCAGAATTTGGCCATTTTGTATTATATTGGGGCACAGAAATTACAGTGTACAGAACTTCTACTACTAAACAAAAGTTGATAAGGAAATAGTTAATTCCCTTTCAGTTTTGCAGTTAGTGTACACACCCACCAGATGGAGCTTCTGGCACCAGTGGAAAATTCCAGAAATCGAGCAAGAATGAGAAGTGTGTGAATGACTTAGAAGATCCCTGTCTGCTGGACTGCAGAAGATTTTTTTTTTTAACCTTTACATGAAAAATGAGTGGAGAGTAAGACACACCAGCCTTACTGATTCCTTTCACTAGAACTGTCTTCCATAGAAGTTTTTCATCTGATGGGAAGTTGGAGTTCTTAGTGTAAGAGTCACCAAGCTGAAGCTAGACAATAAACTCAAAGAAAAGAAAAAAAAAAAAGATAAAGCAGAGTTTTTTAAGCCGTAGCTGAAAACTGTATATAACTACTGAAAGAGCATGTTAATGTTTTTAGCCTAAGAGTTTCCTCCAGAGGATTTTAAGTGGGTTTATTGGGTTTTTTTCCAGTCCTACATTTTAGATGGACTTCTCTCTGGAAGGAGTATTTACATAGGATGTCCAGAGAAGTGGTGTGAAACGGTCCTTTTTGTTTGACACAAAACTTGAAATTTTTTGGAGGTAGCTGATATACTCTCTGAAGTGATTTTTAAATATTTCTAAATTCTTTGTTTTTTCAAAAGGACTTTTAAGAAATGGACCGTTTGATGGTGAGGGGGAATTGAGGTGGTTTCATGCCCACAGTGCTGCAGAAGTTTTACAATTATTTGACCAAATAGCAAATTACATTTGTTGCTTTCCTTCAGTTCCAGTAATCTTAGTTTTAAAACAATGTCAGGTTTTTCCAGAGGGTTAGATTTGGGTTTTCTGTTCGCTTCACGTCTTTTTAATGTACCTGGTCCTGGTTTAGACATAGACACAAGTTAAGGGGCTTGGAAGCTTGTGCTTTCTGATGTGCCAGCCTAAGGTTGAATCTAAGTGCTGGGTCTGACCATGGCAGTGGCGCACACAGAATGATCTAGTTGGGTGTTGAGAGGTGTTTAGGCAGAAGTTAGCTGAAGGCCATCATGTTACATGGGCAGAAGTTCGGTGTTGCAGATGATTGAGCTGATAAAGCTGAGGAGATGCTCTCTGTTGAAAATGTTGCCATGAGAATGGAGCACACGCTGTTACAAAACAGCCTCCATCCTGGGATTATAGCCGACTTGAAAAATGAGCCCGTAGTTGTCTGGCGTTTCAGATGTGCGTTAAACTGCAAATCTCATTACCTTCACAGGAGATGTGGGTGCACAGCCCTCTGAAAACTAGGCCAGCAGTGCTTAAATAAGGAGGAAAGAGAAGAGTCCACCAGAAGAAGGTGAAAATGCTTAATGTAAGCCAGCGAGAGACGTGTTGGGAGTAGACTCTTTATTCACTCAGTGCAGGGAAGGGAGGTATTCAATTCCTTTTCAAGGAAGTTTTCGTTAGTTTTCAGTTTTTCCAACTTCTCTGTTCTCCCTGGTGGTTCTGCTCCTGATATGTTTCATTTGCTCTCTCTTCTCTGAGACACCTTTCTGCTTCCTGACTGTCGCTCTTCCTTGCTCTGCTGTTTTGGAATTGCCAGGTCCCAGAGTCCCAGCTTCCACCTGGCTGCAGGGACAGGCCATCACTGTAGAGTGTTACACACCATCACACCGTACAGGCCATCACTGTAGAGTGTTACACACCATCACACCGTACAGGCCATCACTGTAGAGTGTTACACACCATCACACCGTACAGGCCATCACTGTAGAGTGTTACACACCATCACACCGTGCAGGCCATCACTGTAGAGTGTTACACACCATCACACCGTGCAGGCCATCACTGTAGAGTATTACACACCATCACACCGTGCAGCATCATTTAACCTGCTCTTAATACCTGAGGAGGCTGCTTTTCTATTGCTGTGGGAACCACGGGTTAACTCTCTTGTATTTCAAGATGTTTCACTTCATGTTGCACTAACAGCCTTCCTTGCAAGTTTGTTACATCCTTGGCTTTACTTTTAAAGTAAAGTAACTTTAGTAGTTACTTTAAAATAGTAAAGGACCCTATTTAAAATGCAGTTGGGCTGGAGAGATAAAAAAAATACAGTATCAAGAAACTAACAGCCTTGTTTCATTTCATGCAGGAACATGCAGCTGCTGTCAGCTCTGATACGTGCTACTATGTTGCACTGTTATATGTAAACCAAGAACCTCTTCAGCTTAAAATACTAGCTAAATAAGGGCTAAAATCAAGGAGTTTCAGATGATATCAAGTCAGAAAAATGCCAGGTGCTTGGTGATTTCTGTCAGCAGCACAGTGCAGGGAAATGATGCTCAGTCTTTAGGAGACCCAGTATGGGATGAAGTTCTTCCCCATGCTCAGTGTTGGTATCATCAGACTGATGCACTAATTGTCACTGATCTGCTCTCCAGGCTGATGGGTCTTCATCCAGAAGATGCTTTCCACAATGAGGATTCAGTGGGAAAAGGGGAGTTTAGACTTGATAGAGACACAGGGGCACAAATTCTGCTTTCTAGTTAGAAAATAATCCAGTGTGAAACAAAATAACCCATCATCCTTTCCTGTTTGAAGGTACAGCTAGTGGTCTTGTTAAAGCATATGCAATATTCTCTTTTGCCTTTTGAAGGTACAGCTAGTGGTCTTGTTAAAGCTTATGCAATATTCTGCCTCGCTGTGAAGTATTTTAAGAATTTTGTCTTTTTAAATCTTTTAGAGCATCTTTGTATCTTCTGTTGAAACCATACTTGCTGAAGAAAAATGATCTGTACTTTAAGCTGTAGATGTTCTGTCTGAATAATCAGCAGAGATTAAAATCTAACACTTTTAAGCAGTAAAACCCTTATTACTTAAAAAAGTAATTATAGATGGCTCAACAAATTTTGCTCTTATAAACTTTAGATTTGGTTGTTCCAGACTTTCATGATACTAATGTTATGTCTTGTGTTTCCAGTCTGTTCAAGACTGAGTTTCTGTCCATGGGTGGTGTGAGTTGGAGAGGTATCAGCCTTCCTACAGAAGCATAATCATTTCCATGGCATTACCCCAAACAGTTTACTTCACATCCTCCTACCAGCAGCACTCTAGTTGAAAATTTTAATCTGAATGCTTCCCAAATGAATGTATGTCCCTGGGGTTGTGGTGACAGCCACGTCACCTGTTTGATCTCCCATAATACTGCAAATTGAAGTGGGATTGGGTTTGTATGGGAACCTTGTAGGAAATATGACCTGTGCAAGGAAGCCCTGTTGGTGTTTTCCTGGTTGTGCCTCATCTCTGCAGGGCGCAGCTCTGCTGGGGTACCCAGAGCTCAGATGAGGGGTAAACTGAGGTCCTCTCCACTTGAGTCAAAAGGTTATATGAAGTGTGAAGCGTTCATCTCTGCATCCTCCTGCATTTCTGAATTGGGTAACTTAATTGAAATCTGAGCACTAAAATATTCCTCAGGTAGCAGCACCCAGTGGAATCTGTTGTTTAAGCCACAAATCTGCTAAAGCTTCCTGCAGCACTGTTAACTTGCTGGAGTGCACTCTACAGTAGCTCCATATCTGTAAAGGTACCGTAAATGTGGTTTATAATTAGCTTTGGAGTCCTTTTGCAATGAAACGAACATTATAAATGTAAGATTGCCCTTATTACATTTCTTATCTCTTGTCTTTAACACTTTGTTTTGTACAGCAGGATATGATCCTTCTTCTATGTCCGGGCTTTGGCCTCACACAGTAGGTGTAATATAATCGCTGAGGTGGGCGCTCTGGAAGGAGAATTATTTTTGGAGGCTTTTGCATGAAACTTGTCCAATGAGTCTGAGACGCCCAAGCACCATTAATTTTGGAGGTAAATGCCTCATAATATGTACTGAATAGATTGGGAAGAGTTAAGATTTTCATTTAGCAAAGTATGGGCAAAAAGTAGTTGAAGGGATAGTTCTACTGTTTACTGCTGATGTTTGGACATTTTGAACTTGAAGGAACACCAACTTGTGCTCTAGAAAAATTGGGGAGGTGGAGGGACGTTAAGCTCAATCAGACTGGCAGCTTCACTGCATATTAATTAGTTTCCTGGTTTAATTTTTTGTCCCCTCTTTTGGTTTATTAAAACCAACAGAGTCAGAAGTGAAAGATGATTTTTGAGTACAAGAGCAATGGCCAGACTGCCTGAAGTATTCTCTCGTGCTAAAACAAACTGGAGAAGAAGTTGGGACTTGTGATGTGGAAGTTCAAAGATATATAGTTCAAGTTGGATGTTCCTTTAAGTTATTCCTTGGAATCTGACATTTTTGATTTGAATCTCAATTGAAATAATTAATTTTGGAAATTCAACTGAAGTGTTTTTTATTAAGATATTTTCTATCATTTGTCTATAAATTGGTCTGTCAAAGTGGGCCGGGACATGTATAAAGGGAGGGGAGGTAACTGCAGTTAACAATGAAGAGATAAAGCCAGAGGGGAAAAAACAAACCCCAACAACAAAACAAAAAACAAACAAAAAGACTGACCAAAAAAACAAATGAAAGAAAATAAAACAATTAATCCCAAAAGAGTTTTTTAAAAATGACAGATTTTAAATGTCAGTACTTGCCTGGGGAGGATGGGGAGAATCGTTTGCATGAAATATGATTTTGAGTTTTATTCATGCTATTGTTATTGGAATAAAATCGGGTTACTGATAAAATTATAAAGATAATGTAAGTTTTAAAAGCTAGTAAGTTAAGTTTGCTCTGGTAAACAACAGTAATATAGTACTGGCACACAGCCAATAGAGAAATTAAAACTATTTTAAAGCATTTACAGTGTCTGGGTTCCACTGATGGTGTTGATCCTGGATTCTCATTGCTTTCTGATTTTAATGATAACTGTTATTGAGAAATATTTAATGCTTCAAAACAGGCTGTCTAGTAGAGAGCTTGTTTTAATGAAGTAATTTTTAGCATAATCTGAATTTTATGCACTAACTTGTTACCAAACTGCATGCGGTTTTTTTGATTATGCTGTTTCATTCTGCTACAGCCCTTCCCTTTTAGTATTATTATGGATATTAAGAAATTTGGGGTTGAATTATTGGAATTAAAACCATGGGAACATGATAGATACCTAACAAAGGCAATGGACTAGAGTAGTGGGTTTAAGTGTGCGGGGGGATATGTTGCATAGGGGAAAGGAACAGCTTTTAGAATAAGGGTTTGAAACATTGCTTTTTCTGTAGGAAAAAGATGGAGTATTGCATGCTGGGAACAAGTGCTTTCCATAAGGTAGCTAAATTTTAAAAGTACATTTGTTTCATTTTATTTTAGGCTTTGCTTAAGTGTTCTAATCTAGTAATTTTGTCCTTTCTGCAGTTTTCATTTTGATTAGACCTCTGCAAAACTCTCTTCTAAGCAAAAATTTAAAAAAAAAACAAACCAAAAAAACCCCAAACCTGGGCCACAACTGCAGTTTGACATTTCTGAAACGTTGCTCAATGTGTACAGAAGAGTATTTAAAGGATATTAGTAATAGCATAAATTCTTCCTGTGGTCTGTTTTCTCTTCCATGATTTAAAAATTTCAGGTATTAACACCAGTGAATTTAAAGATGTGAATGTTTTGGACGACTACAGAGAAATGATCAAAAGCAAACCAATTTGTTAAAAGGTAGTCTTCATCGACACCTCTTTAAAAACAAACCCAATAAGCCCCATTCATCAGGAATGCTGTCAGCAGAAGCTTCAAGTAAATAGTCATATTTTTTTTTCCTTTGTTCTTCTGAATAGCAAGACATAACATACTTAGAGGAAGTTTGAGTAGATGAGTCAGGACTTATTTCATTAACTGCAGTTAAATGTTTTGGCCAGGTTTCCCAAGGAAACAAAGCTCATACAATTTTTCAGATTGTGGCTTGTCCCCTAATCCCCCCTCCCTCCTCCCAGCCAAGAAAAAAGTTGGCCATTTTCAACCAAATTTGGTAGAGATGGAGGTCTGAAATGATAAATAAGCACCTTTAAGTTTCACTAAATGTAGATCTCCAGTAAGAGAAGAAACTAAGGTTTCCTTCTCAACTCTCCCACCAGCCTGTTCCTTCAACTGGATGCAGCAGTGCCACAGGGCTGTTAAAAACTGTGGGAGGAGCTGTAAGAAATCCTGCTGCTCAGGCCCTGGGTGTCAGGGGGTGACTTCTCACTGTTGGGTGTGCATCAGCTGCAGAGGTGTGGGTGAGGGGCTGTGTCTGCAGCTGAACATACAACTCGCCTGTCATTATCTGGTACAGAGCTAGCAGAGGGTTATGAAGGAAAGAGAAGGAGCAGTAAATTATCTTGGCTTAGTATTTGAAGTGTTCACCTCCAAATGAGTTGTTGGTGCCTGACTGAGTGCATGTATAGTATATTATTCCATGGATACGATATTATTACAGGTACAGCAGCAGCTCATGATGCCCCGTAAAGCTTTTCTTTCCCAGAAAGAAAAGCAGGCTCGTGCCAGGGAAAGGGATATGTTAAAAAAGAGGAGGAGGCGACAAGACTATCTGAAAAGAAGCGTGGAGCCGCAGAAAAATGCAGAAACAATAAAATGGCACAGGGATGATGAGAAGAGGAGAGAAAATGAGCAAGTTAAGGACAAAGATATCAAGAAGCGGTGGAGACAGGATGAGAGAGAACGACGAAAGAATGTGGACGCTATGAATTGGCGCAGGGAAGATGAGAAGAGGGAAAATGAGCGAGGTAAGGACCAAGCAGGCCAAGAACCAGCAAAGAAAGGATGAGGAGGAGAGGGGGAAAGAGCGACGAAAGGATGGACCTTTTGAAGCAGCAGGGGGATGATGAGGGGGGAGAAGGGAAAAGAGAGAGTAAGAACTATTCATTTTATAAGTTTGTGCAGAAATATTAGTATCTTCTAGTTGCAAATTTATAGGAAATGTGCTTTATGAACTATAGTTCCTACAGAGCTAATTATTTTAATTAGACAAGATTGATCCGGGTATAGATGTATACAAACTCAAAGTCACAATGTTATAGAAAAGGCTGGGTTTGCATATTGCTTATGAAATTGTCTGTTTTGCACACATGCTCACACCTAATACTTTCTTCAACAGTACCGTTGATAATACTGTGTTTCAGATCCCCAAAATAGTCAGGTTTTCTGAGTCTTCATAATAAGAGTAAATGAGAGCATTAGGAAAGGAAGGGTCAACCAAAGGTGCTCATTGATGTCTTGTTTTATTCTATTTAATAGTGTGCCCAAGAGATAGTTGTAATTGCACTCTCAGTTTTATTTAACAGAAGTTTTATGGAAGCGTAAATTTCACAGATGGCTTTTGGGAAGCAGTCAGTTCAAGAGATGCACATTTCTCTGTCATTAGATCTAGTGTTGGCATCAAGTCAGTTGGAATCACATTTGGTTTGATAAATTCAGCCAATACCTTGGCATAAAATCTGAAAAGCCTATGAGCAGTAGATGTTTACATTACAGTAGGCAGACCCCTGCTACAGTTGCAGTTTCATTAAATTTTATATAGCATTTTTATACCTGGAGTTATAAAATGTTTGGGGGCTTGTTGGGTGGTTGTTTTTTTTTTTTTTTTTTGCAGTAGCCCTGAACCATTAGTTGTAGGCTTATGAAGTGAGAGTCTGGGTGAGAGTCTTGTCCTTTGGAAATCCTAGTCCAATTTGGAAATCTGAGCCCGTAGAGTCAAAGGGGTGGTGCCTTTGCACAGACGATGGTAGTTTGCTCCCATCTTTACAGCTGGGGATGTTGCAGCCCTTCTTGGAAGGGCTTTGCTGCCTGTTCACAGCAAACATTCAGGGAAGGGGCTGTCGCATTCAGTCTGTGGTGAAATAGTGCCTCTGCTGAACAGTAGTAGAGAGCTAGTGATCTGGAAATGTGGAACTGATTCAGTTGGCTGCACCTTTTGGGTTTTCTGTACTTAACATATGCTTGTTTTAGGATTAAAGATCTATACTTTTTGTTTGACTCCATAAAAGTGTTTTGGCACCTCTGCTTTGACTGCTCAGTTATGGTGAGGCAGCCTGGAAGGACATAGCCACAGTAACAGAGTTGTGTAATTAATAAAACTACTAACTGCTATGTGGCTGTGAACTGAATGTGGCTGAATAATTTTATTACTCATCCAAACCAAAATGGTCAACATACTGAATATGCATAAAGTGTTTCTTTTTAGTGCAGATCCTTTCAATTGAGCCAGTGTTTGAGGAGTAGGGTGAAGGGTAAATGTTGCTTATTATGTATGAGTAACTTTGTATATTTCATTGTGAGGGGAAAATGCTCTCAAAATGAGTTACTAGCTTTCAACCTCGATGTTCCTGGGAGGCTTTCATTGTAGGCCTGGGAATTAGCAGCTGGTAAAATAAATTGTATGTCAAGAAACTTGATAAATGCACATAAAAAAAAAATGCTTCCAGGAGCCTAATTTTTATTTCTGTAACTTTTTTCTCTTTTTCATTCTTAATTTTCTCTCAATATGTGCTAGGAAAGTTTAACTTTGTAGCTTTCCCTTTCTTGATCAACAGCTGCTTCTGTTTTCAGCTCTGTGAACTTGGATAAACTTAGAACTATGTTCATTAAATTTCCAAATGAAATAAATGGAATAGTCAGATAGTAACTTTCCAGTTATTCCTCTAGTATCATTTGCCATGTTGACATCATACTTTTCTTGTATGATTTAAAAAAAAAAAAGTAAAATTTTAAAAATTCTGTATTCCACTGGCTTGGTTCTGCCCCTGGACAGGAACTGCAGAAGAATCAGTGGCTGTTGTGAAGAGCATTAGGCTCCCTGGCCTGGTCATACAGCTTTGGGATGCCTGAATAAGAGTAAAATGCCCTAGGGACTAGGGCTTTTTTAGTTTGTAGCTTTTGGGGGTTCCATAATCTTTTGTTTTCCTTGCCATTTCACAGGATGCTCTTTACAAACCTTGTTGAGTGAAGACATCTGCCTTAATGAAACGTTTAAAGCCACCTATGGTTCTGTGCTTGCTGGCCATGGAAGGCTTTCCTAATGCTACAAACTGACAGTGTGGTGTCATTTTCAGTTAAGCATAAAGAGATGAAAGAGTAGGTTCTCTAGAAAACCTAAACTGGTGCGGTCTTGGTTCCTTTTACACAGGAAGATTTTCCTCCAGATTAGGTTCCTTTTACACAGGAAGATTTTCCTCCACAGGAAGATTTTCTTTGGGTGTTTAAACTATTTCTGGATGAAACCCACCATTTTACTAACAAGACTATGACATTAGAAATATATTATACTTGCTGTTTGTTAGAACTGTAACAAAGCTCAAGTATAAAACAGCCACAGTAAGCACTTGGAATAATATTGTCCAAAAAATGAAAATGACATGATGAGGCAGATCTGGAATATTTGTTGAAGATTTTAGTTGAGATAAAAAGGCTGTCTTGTTGGTGAAAACGGAGGCACCTTTCCTAGAATCAAACCAGCATTGTTACCTTGTGGGTGCTTTGAAGCTGTACGCTGGAAGATCCTCTCTTTCGTTGCTCTAGATAAAGTTGGCAGAGCTGAAGCAGTCTCACAGCTGTTACCTGAAGGTATCAAAGGCTGCAAGGCAGCACCTCTGATGAGGTTCAAAATACAAAAGACCCACTGGAGAATTAAGATTTTAGTTACATTAAATCAGAAACAGCTTTTGGGGTCTAAAGACAGGTGGAAGCTTTCTCTTTTTTATCACCTCTGATAATTTGACTGATGTGGTGGTGGGTTTTTTTTTGCTGTTTTTCCCTCGTGTGTTCCCTGTCCTCGCTCTCCTGGGTGCGTACCTTCTGTAAGGTCACAGTTCTCGAGTTGTGAATACAGTGTATTGTGTACGAGATCAGCACTTCCCTCAAAAGGGATCACTGTTTGCACTGAGGAGAACATGTAGCATAAGAAAATGTTAACTGTTGCAATACAGAACTCTAAAACAGGCATGTAATATTGTATTTGACATGAATTAATTTTCCAAATAATTGCACAGTAATCTTTAACTCATCTGTTGACTCGGTTTTCTAGGTGGTTCCAGTCCCTTGGTAACTGATGTGTTAAAGGGCTGAACTGCATGGCCATGTTAACTTGAAGTGCTTGAAGCTGGAACAGTGAGGATAGTTTATTTTTTATAAAACGCTAAAAGTGGTTTAAAAATCACTTAGAGTAACGTAACAGGAGGATGTGTCAGACTTCACATTCTGGATGTTTTTAGAATAGTGACTGCAACTCTTTCCATCTGGAATTTGAAGCGCTCCTAAGAGTAGCAAGTTGGTGAAGAGGCAATTTGGAGTTGAAAGTCACTGGAAGTCTGTCTAAATGCTAAAATCTGTTTAAAAAAAAAAAAAGTGATGAAGAATTTGGGGTTTGTTGAAACTTGTCTGTGACTATGCAGTGGTTATTTTTTTGGACTAGGCCTTGTTTCCTTTCTGCTTTTTTGTCATGCCTTAAAAATTGGAACTCTTGGTTTCCTGTGTCTAATGATATTTGCCCTGTTAAATTCCTAAAACTAAGCAGAAATTTTCTCTAGTAATGGGTTTGTCCCTTCTGTTCGCTTGAATTGTTTTTTCCTGAATATTGTTCACACTCGTGTTCCTGAGAGCATTTCAAGGTGTTACACAATTTTTTCCCCTCTATGGCTTAACAGGGTTAGAGAATTGAGTAGCGACAAAGCCCTTTGTGGTGAAGCCATATCAACCTTGAAGTGAGGTCCCTTTTTTATTTCAGCAGTGAACCTCAGTTCTTTGAAAACCCTAAAGAAACCTTTAATCTTTTAAACAAATGAGGCACATTGTTGTTGCTTCTTTTGGCCTGCGGTTTTGGTTGCTTCCTAAAACTTGGACGTAATTATAAATTTAAATCAATTGGCCTATATTATGTGCTGGCCTGTTCCCATTTCAGGATGTGATTCTGTTGTATGAACTGAACTGCTGGTTCCTGAAGATTTCAATTTAGATTTTATAAGATGGAAATATCAGAATTGCACTTAAGACTAAATTCTGCCTCCCTGGGACTCTTATAGCCTGTTAAAGCCAAAGACAGTGCCTCAGTTCTCCAAGCACAATACCATGTACACACTGAGTTCTGTGAAGTCTCTTAACTGTTGTCCCTGTGCTTACCTTCCAAAGAGCCCTTGCTTTTCCACAAACCCTTCCCTCCTGCTCCCCCTTCAGAATTTTGGATGAAGATGTGAAAGAACTTCATTCAGGTCTTTTTGGTAACGCCTCTGCACTGGCTGGGAAACTTCTCTTAGCTTTTTGTTCACACTTTGCATAGTGGCTGTTACCTGTAGCATGAATTTTAGAATAAGTCTTTGCATCTCCAAAATGTGACTGTGAAATGAAAACTAAAGTGCAGTGTTTCTAGTGTAGTAATGATGTTTTGCTTTTTTATACCTTGTTTTTTCTGTTTAAGTTTGGCTACTTTTTATAGTCACAAACCATAACATCAGATTGTATCTGGCTCTCCATCAGTTATGATTAAATAGTCAAGAAACTTCATAAATTTGCATAGTGGCTGTTACCTGTAGCATGAATTTTAGAATAAGTCTTTGCATCTCCAAAATGTGACTGTGAAATGAAAACTAAAGTGCAGTGTTTCTAGTGTAGTAATTATATTTTGCTTTTTTATACCTTGTTTTTTCTGCTTACATTTGGCTACTTTTTGTAGTCACAAACCATAACATCAGATTGTATCTGGCTCTCCATCAGTTATGATTAAATAGTCAAGAAACTTCATAAATAAATAAAATGAACTGTGTTTGCTTAAGGATGAGGGGTTTTGTTAAGGTTAGGTGAGCTGGATTCAGCTGTCAAGCAAAGTTTGCAAAGTAAGGTTGATCTTCAGTTTTCAGGTGTGAAGATCTAATTATATCCTCCATTATGAAGTGCTGTGGTAGGAAGATCTTGATAATTTCTTGTGTTTAAGACTTGGCTGTGAGGCAGCAGGAGAGGAGGGGCAAGAAGATGGTGCAGATAGAATAGAGATCTGCTTTTCAGGCAGTCCTAAATTATTTGCTTTCTTTATCACTTGAGTTTATATATATCATGGTATATTTTGCATGTCTAGGTATATTAGACACAAGAACTAAGAGAAAGTATTTGATTCTTTTGGTGAAGAAGTTGTTAGTGGCATTTTGTTCTAAAGTAAGGTATTTTACAATAAGCATTATTTTGAGCCTTGTGGCTGACTTTCAAGTTTACAAGTGATTGTCACCTAAAGACAAACTCTGCACTGGGTAGGGTTTATAATTGCAGCTGAAATACTTGATGCTAAAAGAGTACCAGTGAGAATGGATGCAGCATAAACAAAGAGCAGTTCATGATTTCCCACACAAAGTCATTAGAGGCTTTAGAGGGAATAACTGGGAAGAGCAAGGAGTTTATTGCCAAGGTCTGTTTGATCCTTGCCTCCTCCAAGCTGGCAAAGAATGCGGGTTGAAGCGCTCTTCATACCATGACTAGGGTTCATGTTAAGAGACTTCTAAGTGAATCTACCTATAATGTGTTTCACTAGAATTCTAATTCGTCATATTACTAAATTGGTTTTGAGTTTCCCTAAAATCAAAGGTGCCTGATAAGGTACAGAACATAGTTAGTTTTCATATTAACTTAATTCTCTATTTTTTCAGTTCTAATCCTTTCACCAAGACTAGAGTTAGCTGAAACACCTCTGCAGTCACAAAAATTAATATACTTGCATTTGGAGTTTTGTATGTGTGTATGGTGCTTGGGTTTGAGTATACTGAATTCTTTTAACAAGTGCTACTTGGAGGAAATTTATACAGAACATTAAAATACAAAATACTAAAATACTTTTTTTTTCTAGCCTATGTTATTTGAAAATTACTATCGTTAGACACTTTGCATGACGTGTCTAAGTAACTTCATTGCTGCAGATACTATAACTGAGTAATTTGGAATCCCTGAGATTTATAGACTTAAGTCTAAACTTGTTTTTCTTTGCTTGCTAGTTTTTATAGAGGGGTGCTAAAATGTTTCTGGTCATCTGTAACAGCGGCCAGTCCGATCCAAGTACCAAAATGCTTAATGGTTAGAGCTGCTTTGGTACTTCTGAAAATTTTCTTGTAGATCCTTTAGATAGGCTTGTTTCCATTTAATTTCTAATTTATAGTTATGATATGAATCCAGACTGTCGTGATAGCTTTCTGCTCTTACTCAGAAGCTATTTCTGAATTCTCTGAATGTGAGGAGATCAGAGCCTAGTGACACGTGCTACCAGCACTCCTCCGAGGCTGTGAAACCCAGTGAAGCAGTTTTCTGAAACTAAACAGTGTTGTTGGGAGAAATCATGGAATAGTCAGTTGTTAGTGACTGCCTTAAAGCATTTCCTAGTAAAAGGTGGTGGGAGTGTGAAAATAAAAAGGCCAGTGTGTAAACAGACAGGTAATACTTTTACAAGTGTGTAGAGAAGGGGTTGGGTTGGATTTTTTGAGAAAATTTCTTAGTAAGCTCTTTGTAGCTTAGCAGTTGCCCTTGATCTCGTGATAAAAGGGGAGAATTTTTTGTCTAACTCAAATATTTAACAGCTGCAAACTTCTGTGAACTCTGCATTCTAGGCTTCTGCTTCAAAGTGTTAAAAAATACTTTCAAGCTTCTGACAAAAAAAAAGTCCATTTGTAGTTGATGTAGGTAGTCTTTGGCCTTATAGTCGATTAATTTGTTGATATGAATCAAACCTTGCATTGTTCAAACAAAGCAGCATTTCTGATTTGGCTCACAGAAATATTAATGATCAAAAATCTTCCGAGATCTGATGATCTTCAAATTATCTTCTGAGGTGATGCTCTTTAGCAACAGGCGCAGGACTATTAAAGCCTAGGGAAAAGATAACAACTCTGACACTTTCTTGCTTCCTCCCCTTTCCTTTGAGAAAAGCCTACCTTTTTATTGCTGGCTCCAGCCCCTCTCACTTCCAAAATCACTGTGTGTTGTCTCTGCTGTTTTGCAGCATGTTGAAGTGCAGGTGACCCCTTGGTGCCGGGTCTGTAGCTGGGCAAGGCTCGCTGCAGTGACAGCAGCGCCCACACACAGCTCCTCTGTCACAAAGTAAGACCAGCTGTTAGAGTTTGGAAGAAATCTTAGTGGTAAGGGCTGAATCTGGGAATCCATACATCTTAAAATTTTAGGCCTTCTTTTAGCTGGATAGCCCCAGTCATTTACAGACAGTTTAATTGGATTAATTAGCTATTTGTGTGGGGAACTGAAAGGGAGGGTTGTCCTGGAAGCTGTAAATATCCAGCTACACTTAGAGGCGTTAAGCTCTCTCTTGTACTTTTTTCCAGTGATTTATATCTCTGAAGGGCTCTGACCAAGCTTTCAGGTCCCATCTCCATAAAAGAGATGTTTGCTAAACAGCTGTCAGGCATTTAAGGCTACAAATACAGTAAATAGAGGAAGCAGTATTAATTTCTTATCCTACCTACAGTTGAATGCAAGAAGCACCTTTCTCACTGAAGAGATACCGTTACATCTATTACAAGACCAACACAACCCTTGAAGTTCAACTTAGCGATTTTCAAATCAGTTAGGATATGTGTGCACAAAGATAAATTGAGATTGTAGTGCTTCAGCATAGGGGGCCAATTTCATGTAAATACACACACTTTAAAACAAACAAACCAAACCTTATTTGCAGATGCAGCTGATCACTCCTGCAATAGTTGCTAAACAGTTTGTTGATTGCTCTGTGAAGTTTGTCAATATCTAGCTTTATGGCCAGCCTCACTTAAGAACAAATCAGACAAAAAATACAGTAGATTCTTAGTTAATGGTACAGCTCTGATACTGGGTTATATGGGTAAAATGAGCCAGAAAATTACTAATAATTGGAAGTGCAACATTCTGTCAGACAAAACACATTTGACTTAAACCTTTCTCTTACTTTCTTTTTCAATAGAAACTATGTTCCAACTTCCTGTCAACAACCTTGGCAGTTTAAGAAAGGCCCGGAAAACTGTGAAAAAAATACTTAGTGACATTGGTTTGGAATACTGTAAAGAACATATAGAAGTAAGTATGATACCTCCCAAGTGTTGTAATTTGAGTTAAAATCCTCCAAAGCCAGTGGGACTGTGAGATCTTTGCTGTGTGACATTGTTGGGTATTTTTAAGATCTCTTTCACAAACTGTTACAGTTTCACTGTGCACTTTGAAGGAAGCCCCTGTATCCTGTTCCCACACCATATTCTGTTCTCGTCAGCTTCTGGGAATGACTCTGAGATTCCATTGGAGCTTTGTTGTTCAGGTGTGGCTACCACTGCATTGCTTTGTAAGTTCTACACAAAGTAGGACTTTCAATAATTAGAGCTAAAATGTACTCGTAAATGCTTTTTAGAAAGTTTAGTGGATGAAGACAAGATACACTTCATGCTTTGTGTGACTGACTTGATATATATTGAAGGTGGGTTGTCCTTTGTTTATGTTGGATTCTTAAAAATAACATTTTCTAACTGAGCATTTAGGAATGATGCAAGAACTAGGTGTGGTGTAGGATGTTCCTGGGGAACAAAAGCTGATTCTGATGTTTCCAAGAAGTGTTTGTCAGTGCTGAACAGTTGGGCATTGGGTTAAAGACTCACTTCTGCTCCTGTGTTAGCTGTTAGAAGGGAAGGGGTTGTGCTACTCTTCTGGACAAGCTTCATAACTATCGTCTCAAAAAATGCAGCTTTCTGTCCTGAACACGAACTTCTGTGCTATCAATTCACACTGTTACAGTTTCACTGTGCACTTTGAAGGAAGCCCCTGTATCCTGTTCCCACACCATATTCTGTTCTCGTCAGCTTCTGGGAATGACTCTGAGATTCCATTGGAGCTTTGTTGTTCAGGTGTGGCTACCACTGCATTGCTTTGTAAGTTCTACACAAAGTAGGACTTTCAATAATTAGAGCTAAAATGTACTCGTAAATGCTTTTTAGAAAGTTTAGTGGATGGAGACAAGATACACTTCATGCTTTGTGTGACTGACTTGATATATATTGAAGGTAGGTTGTCCTTTGTTTATGTTGGATTCTTAAAAATAACATTTTCTAACTGAGCATTTAGGAATGATGCAAGAACTAGGTGTGGTGTAGGATGTTCCTGGGGAACAAAAGCTGATTCTGATGTTTCCAAGAAGTGTTTGTCAGTGCTGAACAGTTGGGCATTGGGTTAAAGACTCACTTCTGCTCCTGTGTTAGCTGTTAGAAGGGAAGGGGTTGTGCTACTCTTCTGGACAAGCTTCATAACTATCGTCTCAAAAAATGCAGCTTTCTGTCCTGAACACAAACTTCTGTACTGCCAATTTGTGTACTTTAACTCTTCAGAGTACCCAGCAAATGATGACCTGTGGGATTTGGCTGTTCTGTTAGTGTCTCTGTAAAGAGCATTTAAGTGAGATGCGTAAGAGGAAGAAATGCAAGTCCTTCCTGCTTGGGAAATTTATGGAGCAAGTATAATTTTAAGGGTAAAATTCTGAACTGAGACAAGTATTCATTTCGGTGAAAATACTGTTTTTGAGTCTCTATGTGCTGCTGACATATACCAAAGTCAAAGTGCCGGTACTTAATAAAATTATTTTTTAATAGGAATTAGGCTTCTTGGACACCATACATGTAGTCAAACTTTAACTTATACCTGAATTCCTGTGTGAAATAAAAAAATCCCAAAACCTAATCAACCAACCAATGCCCTCACTCCTTCCAAAAATCCCCAAACCAAACAAAAGTCAGGGTTATGGTAAAGCATCTGTATGATCTTAAATGTTTAGCGGTAGCCCTGGGATACTTTTCTCCGTGATTGCTTTTGAAAATGGGGCAGGTGTGTAATTACAGTCTTTGGTTAATTAGGAAGATGAGTACTGAAAATAGTTCTTCAGGTGTTTTATGGTATTAAGAGTACTCACAACTTCACCTCCAAAGAGGTGCAGCTTAAATACACACACTTCTTGAATTACTAGTATCTCCTGTTTGCCAGCAGCACTTGAGGCCTGGATGGATGCTTCAGGAGTTGTTGCTTGAGGCAGCAGCTGATCTTTGGTTTTCATTCTCTGTACTCTCTTCCCATCTTCTCCAGGATTTTAAGCAGTTTGAACCTAATGACTTTTATTTGAAAAACACTACATGGGAGGATGTAGGATTGTGGGACCCATCGCTTACAAAAAATCAGGTTGGTAATATTTATGTTGACACATCTGAGTCTGAAGATGGTTCGTGCTAAAGGGCGTTTTACAAATACACCGAGAGCTTTTCCTGCAGTTGTACCCATTCATCTTCATTTGGCATCAGTTTAAGGGACAGCAACAAAATCTCCACTGACCTTTTCTCTTTTTTTAAAGAAATAATGCTGGTTTTTATGCTAGTAGTATGGATAGCCACATTCTGGGAACTGATTGGTCAAGAAATCTTACCCTTTGACAACTGCATCTTAAGAGCCCATCTGTTTTCAAGCTTAGCACAATTTCACCATCCTTCCAGTCAAAAGATCAACAATTGTACACAGTTTGTGCTACGTTTTTTTACCTTTCCTTAAATGTTTCATTATCAGTTTTCATCGTTTCAGAAAAAGTTGAAATGAACTCATCTAACTGCTGCTGGAGCTCTGTAGCTGCCTGCTGCATCTGAAGAGTCTCGTATCTGACTGTGTCTGAGATTTGGGGTTAGGCACATATAGCTCTATGCAGCAGTGACAGCAATGAAGGGACACTGCAAGTGTTGCTTTTTAGGTATTTCTGAGCCAGTAATAAAAGAAACTTGAATTGAGCTAGAAGTGGAGGGAGGAAATAATATTTGATTCTGATTAAACACACTTAAGGCAAGTTGTGTGCGCTGCAGTAGCCTCTACCAATGGTACAATATAGAGTAATATCAGCACTGACAGAAGTGAGGTGAGAAATCTCTCTATAAAAGAAGCCCTCCTTTAGCATCTGAAAGACTAGGTATTGCTCTTACAGGAAATGGGAACCTGTGTTGTCATGGATTCCTGGTGTGATGTTAATCTAAAACTGTCCCTGTATTGCTGTGTTCCGTAAAATATACTGATCTTGTCCTTTTTTTTCCTAGTTAATTCCAGTATAAAAATTGTAAAAAAGGAGGCAGGTTTTGTTTAGTTTGTTTTGTTGGATCTTGTCTCCAACCTACCAGATGTGTGAGGCTTCAGAAGGTGGGCAGAAGCATGAATTCCTACTTAGCTCTGCAGAGGGAGAGTACAGCTCTCCAGCTACTTCAGATGATCTCGCTGTAACTTGATGCACAAGGCTTGTTTTGACACTCCTGATGAATGTTTGTAACTATTGGAATTTCATGGCTTATCTCATCTGAAATGCTGGATTGCTGGTGGCTGTCTCTAAGGCCACTGTAACTTTAGTTTCTGTTATAACAGTTGACAAGAACTGCATCGGCAACATGTTAAATATAACAGATAAAGCGTGCAGGGAAACTCCAAGTGGGGAATTTTCGGATACTTTTTTTTTTCCTGATTCAAGATTATTTCAAAAATCAGGTTTGTGCTTTGATCAGAAGGAAAAGGCTTGGTGGCTTTAAGGGCTTGAGTAGCCTTAGTATATGATTCGGTAAGCTTAAATCCAGTTGTTCACCAAAAATAAGTTTTGAAGAACATCTTTTATATAAAAGCTTGTAATAGATCAAGACACTGAAATAGCTGAAGGTATAGATCTGTCTTATCTGTAAAGGTTTGGCAGATTTTGATGGGAAGTAACTCGTCTTCTGGATACAGTCTCATTCTGCCCTGTCGTGCTTCCCTTTCCCCTCTGGAAATGAGCTTATGGTGAACTTGTTAATGCAGCTCAGCTGCAGGGAACGAGGCTTTTTTTTTTTTGACTGGTGGAGAAAGGTGCTTATGATTGAGCTTTGTGCGCTGAGCTTATGCTCAGACTCTTGAGGAAGCTCTGAATTGGCATTTGCCACATCACATGTATGTTCAGATGACAAAACTTTTTAGGGCCTGATGTGCAGGCCAAAAACTGGGGAGAAGAAATGAATCTAAAGGTTTGAGACTGTTATTTAGAAACGTTATTGTTTAGATCATGGATGTTGTTTTTCTCAAAACTGCTTTTCAATATTTAGTTTCTGCTTTGTTCTTTGTTTCAAGGACTATCGGACAAAGCCCTTTTGCTGCAGTGCATGTCCATTTTCCTCGAAGTTCTTTTCAGCGTACAAAAGCCACTTCCGGAATGTGCATAGTGAAGACTTTGAAAATAGGATTCTCCTCAATTGTCCTTACTGTACCTTCAATGCGGACAAAAAGACTTTGGAAACGCACATTAAAATATTTCATGCTCCAAATGCCAATACACCGAGTGGAGGCATCAGCACTTTTAAAGATAAAAACAAACATGATAGCCTTAAACCTAAGCAGGCTGACAGTGTAGAACAAGCTGTTTATTACTGTAAGAAGTGCACTTACCGAGATCCTCTGTATGAAATAGTTAGAAAGCACATTTACAGGGAACATTTTCAGCACGTTGCTGCTCCTTACGTAGCGAAGGGAGGTGAAAAGTCACTCAATGGTGCAGTCCCGTTAAGCTCCAGTGCCCGAGAGGAGGGTAGTATTCACTGCAAACGATGCCTTTTTATGCCGAAATCGTACGAAGCTTTAGTACAGCACGTTATCGAAGACCACGAGCGCATAGGATACCAGGTCACAGCAATGATAGGTCACACTAACGTAGTGGTTCCGAGATCCAAACCTTTGATGCTAATAGCTCCAAAACCCCAGGATAAAAAGCCTATGGGACTCCCTCAGAGGATGGGTGCCCTTTCCGCTGGAAGCGTTCGATCTCTTTCGTCACAGCAGATGATGAACAGACTCACTATACCAAAGCCTACGTTGAATTCCACAGGAGTGAATATGATGTCTAATGTTCACCTGCAACAAAACAATTACGGAGTCAAATCGGTACCACCCAGCTACGTCGGGCAGCCGGGGGGGAGGCTGAGCTTGAGCGGGAACGCGGTTTCTATTCCGCAGCAGTCGCAGACAATGAAACAGTTTTCAGCGAGCGGCAACGGAAGGCCTTACACCCTCGGAGGGGAACCGAGGTCAACCTCGGCGAGATACTCTCTGCAGTCGGGCAATTCATCTTCTCTGTCATCGGCTCAGCTGAAACAGGCGTCGTTGTCCCAGTCACAGGCAGCTTCGAGAGCGTTAGGTCAGTCCGGCTCGAAATCTCCTGTAGCTGCTACAGGTCCTTCCGCTGTCAACACGTCGTCCACGCAGAAGTGGAAAATCTGTACAATCTGTAACGAGCTGTTTCCTGAAAATGTGTATAGTGTCCACTTTGAAAAGGAGCACAAGGCCGAAAAGGTGCCTGCAGTAGCTAACTATATAATGAAAATACACAATTTCACTAGCAAATGTCTATACTGTAATCGCTATTTACCCACTGATACGTTGCTTAATCATATGTTAATACATGGTCTGTCATGTCCGTATTGCCGTTCGACCTTCAACGATGTTGAAAAGATGGCTGCTCACATGCGGATGGTTCACGTCGATGAAGAAATGGGACCTAAAACGGATTCTACTCTAACCTTTGATTTGACATTGCAGCAGGGCAGTCACACGAATATACACCTTCTTGTAACCACCTACAACCTGAGAGATGCTCCTGCCGAGTCTGTAGCTTACCACGCTCAGAATACTCCCCCAGTTCCTCCAAAACCACAGCCAAAAATCCAGGAGAAGTCTGATGTACCTGTAAAAAGTTCTCCGCAAGCAGCAGTTCCCTACAAAAAAGACGTGGGGAAAACTCTCTGCCCTCTGTGCTTTTCAATCCTAAAAGGACCCATCTCTGATGCACTTGCACATCATCTACGGGAGAGGCATCAAGTGATTCAAACAGTTCATCCGGTTGAGAAAAAGCTCACCTACAAATGCATTCATTGCCTCGGTGTCTACACCAGTAACATGACGGCCTCGACCATCACGCTGCACCTCGTTCACTGCAGGGGTGTTGGGAAGACCCAGAACGGCCAGGAAAAAGGTACTTCGTCCTCTCGGCTCAGTCAGTCTCCAGCTGTAGCCCCTGTAAAACGTACCTATGAGCACATGGAGTTCTCCCTCATGAAGAAAAGGAAAATGGATGACGACGACTCCCCCTCTGCCTTTGAGGAGAAGCCTGAAGAACCCGTAGTTCTAGCGTTGGACCCCAAGGGTCACGAAGATGATTCCTATGAAGCCAGGAAAACATTTCTTACAAAGTATTTTAATAAGCAACCATATCCCACTAGGAGAGAGATCGAGAAACTGGCTGCCAGTTTGTGGCTCTGGAAATCTGATATTGCCTCTCATTTTAGTAACAAAAGGAAGAAATGCGTTCGAGATTGTGAGAAGTACAAACCCGGTGTGCTGCTCGGTTTCAACATGAAAGAGTTAAACAAGGTTAAACACGAAATGGATTTTGATGCTGAATGGCTGTTTGAAAACCATGATGAAAAGAATTCCAGAGTCAATGTTAGTAAGACTGTTGATAAAAAAATAAACTTAGGGAAAGACAATGAAAGTTCCTCAGACAGCTATGAAAATATAGAGGAGGAATACAACGAAGGCGGTAGTCCCTTTGGTCAGCGCGTTTCTGACACTGGTGGGAAAACCTCTTCTGACAGCACAGCAGAAAACCCCGAGGACAGCATATCCAAGGAAATCATTGAAGAAACCACATTACAGTCTCCAGAGAAGTCGGATCAAAAACAAGAGGAAAGCTCTAAATACGAAGAGATTATTTCTGCTGAAGAACCAGCAAAACTGGTAGGTGACGTTTCAGACAGCGAAGGTGATCAAGATGATGCTGTGGAATGGAAAGATGGAGCTTCACAGTCCGAAAGTGGACCTGGTTCTCAGCAGGTTTCTGATTTCGAAGATAATACATCAGAAGTCAAACCAGAAGTGTGGACAGATGAATCCTCCCAAAGTGAAGATGCCGGCAGCAGCAAACCCACTGCTGAGACAAAAGGGGCTGGATCTGAAAGTGATGAAGAACAGTCAAAGTGGAAGAATCGTTCCTATGGAAAAGTAGAGGAGTTTTGGTCTAAGGACCAGTCGCAATGGAAAAATGCGCCGGAGATGGAGGAGAACTTGTCGAATCAGCAGATGGAATGGCAGAACAGCACAATGGACAGCGAGGACGGGGAGCAGTTTGACAGTGTGACTGATGGGGTGGCAGAACCCATGCACAGCAGCTTACCGGGCGTGGAGCTGAGCAGCCAGCAGGCGTAAGCTCCGGGAGTGTCACTCACCCTGTCCCACCCCAATGTCCACACACCTTCATTTCAGAATGACTGCTGAGCTCAAACTGGCTGGTGCTGCCCTTCCCAGTGCCGGGTGGTGGCCAGTGGGGGTTGTGGCCACTCACTCCAGTGGTCACCTAAGGATGCTGTTGGCCAATCGTGCGTGAGAATTCCTGCTGGAACGAGCACAGTAACTTAATGTGAAAACGGATAAGCTGGGGGCTCCGGAATGCACAGAGAAAAGCAGAGGTTTATTTTATCTGCATTGTCAACATTTATTTCACTCTTGTACATGTTCAGTTGTATGTCTTTTTAAACATTACCCTTTTTCACATGGTAGTGTAGGGCCAACCATCCAAGCTACCGGTTCAACGTGTATAGTAGACTATGGGGAAATTGATTTTTTTCATGTATCATTCTGAATAGTTGAAATGTATATTTGTACAGTCTTTTAGACCTATTCAAGTGAAGCTTATGAAATTGTTCTTGTGTACCCATCATAGATTTGTTTCTCTTTTTTAGTGTTGCCCTGCTGTGTAATAAATGCTGTATCTAGTTTACCTAGCAAAAGCTTGAAACTGCTATAGTATGAATTTTGACAAACTTAGTTTTTGCACATAACCTTGTACAATCTCAAAACAGAGGCCAGCGACATTAAAAAAAATATATCTGGACTCTATTGTATTATAGAATTTTCTTGTTCTGAATATCCTTGACATTACAACTGATGACAAACGTATTTCAGAGCCATTTTCTGAAATCTTTTAAGCTAAAAAAAAAAAAAGAAAAATCACATGCAAGAAACAAGTTTGCAGCTACTAATTTTGACACCTTTTAGATCTGTATAAAAGTGTATTGTGTTGAAGCAGCACACTGAAACAAAAGTGCTGTGTTTTGAATATTTAGTTTTATCTTTAGTTAACACCAACAAGGTGTTGTATTCATTTATACCATCTAATATATGACACACTGTTGTAGTATGTATAATTTTGTGATCTTTATTTCCCTTTGTATTCTTCATTTAAGCATCTAAATAAATTGCTGTATTGTGCTTAATGTAAATATTTGCTTTATTACATGCAAGTGCTGCATTCCTGTTTGGTAAATCCCACCTTGCTACATTCGTTCCTGGTTTGGGTTGTTATTATCTTTCTCCCTCTCCCCCGAAGTGCTCTGCTGGGGCCTGTCTGTATAGGACTTTCTTACTGCAGAGATGGATCTCCTTCAAGGATATTGAAAATCCTGCAGAACTAACTTTGGCTGAGTTTGTCTTTACTATTTAGCACTCTAGGACACTAATTTATAAATAGGATTGTAGTGATTTGCTTGCTCTGCATCCTGGAGAAACAAGGTCTATGAATTACTTGCATTTTTTCATCCCTTTGTACTTCCATGAATGGAGATCACTTCCACGTATTAAAAAGTTATCTAGAACTATGTCTCTCTCTGAAGCACTGTGTATTGAGGGTAAATGACAGCAAAGACATTTGAAGACTTGCAATTTAAACATGGAGCGTGTAGTAAGTAATTTGAATACTTAAATTTTAACAAACTGGTTATTTTTTTAGGGTTTTTTTGGTGATTGGTTTGGTCAAACCAGTCCTGTAGTTTGGGAAGCGTGCATAACCAAAACCTCAGCGAGGTAATCATTTACTGAAGGGAATTTAATTGTGATGAGAACAAGACTATTCTTAATTACAGCAATGAGTTTTTAGGCAAACGTCTATCAGAAAGCAAGTATTCTGATATTTATTACTTTACAAGAACTAAACTGACCTGTGAACTTTTCATTTCTGTTGTAAAGGAGGAAATAGTTCTGTCTGTGCTCTTCGGCATTTTAAACAGCAAAACCATTTCACAGAGATCTTGAGAAACCATTCAGGTATCTCTGTAGCATCAGGTCGGTACCAGCTGTAATTCTCACTAGTAGAACATCCAAGCCCCTGCATAAGGCAAGAGGAGACCGTGTGTGCTCTCGTGTGCTGGGACCCACTGGTGCTGCTGACGCTCCTGCAATGAGCATTTCTGGGTTTTGTTGAACTAATTTCTGTGTGTGAAATGATGACTAAAACCAGTTACTTTTGGATGAACATGGTTTAGATTTGTCATTGTGCACTCCAGTGGTAGACAATACATTTTAAGAACAATACAGGAAAAATACTTTAGCTACTTGCATGAGCAAAAGAGTTCCTTGTGTTTCTCTGCCTTAGAAGAAAACTGGAGCCTCGGCTCATTTTGTTAGCAGGATTTCTCAACTGTCTCAGAATAACTTTTGAGGAAGTCGGTAGAGAGTTTATTAACTGCCACTTAGAGCTGTCAATGGGGTGGTAATCTTTTTCCCAACCAAACCAGACTTTCTGAAAGTCCTAGAAAAGGTTATTCCTCACTAAGAAAACTTGGTTGTGTTCTTTTCTGCCTCTGTAGGCTGCTTGAGTTCACAAGAGGCTGCTGTCTGAAAACTTAAGACATCTCAGAATTTGTTTTGTTTCATATTGTCTAGGCTTTAAGAGATTTCTCAAATACAGTTTAAAAACAAAACAGTTTAATGGTAGTACAACCACCTTTATCTGTTAAGCAATGAAATGAAAAATCGGGTATCATCTTATGAATCTGCATCATATTTGTCTCAATATCTGGCAAGATTAATTTATATTAGTGAATTCTACAGTTAAAAGTCAAATTTCCAAATTCTGAGCTTCGGTTGGTAGTTAGTGAATAGTAAAACTATGAACCCTGAACTCTAGAAATGCTTCACGTGCCAGAAAATTCCATTACAATAAATGCCAGTTTATATAGTGATTGAATTAAAAGTCTTTTACAAAAATAGTCTGTCTTACCAGAAGTACCAAGAAGGATTGGGGGTGGGGTTTTTAAGTTTTGACATGAACTTTCTAGTATTTCAAATAAGTCGCTCTTCAAATGCGGATTTTAGCCTAGGCAGGAATTCCTTGCTAGATTTGAGGGTAACCACACGTTGTTGAGGAAGTCAAAAAGCAGAAGAGGCAAACGGCCCAGTAAAACTGGAGGAACCTTAAACCTGGTTTGTATAATCTTAATTTATCACACCATTATAACTGTGTGAGATGGAAGTCACCCAGTGTTTGCATACATTGCTGAAGTTTCCTTAACACTTTTCTAAAGACTTTGGTTTTACCTGAATTGCAGCAAAGCGAAGTGCCTTTTCCATCTTAAATACGGGGTCTGAAATGTAGAGGTTGTAACGGCTGAGAGCGGAGCAGCAGGTTATTAGCACACACGTTGCTTCTGGGCACAGACAGCTTTGTACAACAGAAACTCCTTCAGGGCTGTTGCCACCTGTAAATTGACTTTTGGCGCGTGCCTGAGCCTGGCGAGGACAGGGAGATTGTTAAAGGTGGCTGCATTTTATACGGCACTTTGTTTCTGTGGGTGTTCATACAGGCTTCAATAACTGCTATTTTGAGGCAGCTGAGACACCGTGGTTCAACACATGCTCTTGGTCGTTCAGTACCTCCTCTCCTTCCATCCCTCCCTCAGCCCCTGACACGATTACAGCCCATGAGCTTCCCTCCAAACCAAACGGTTCTTTCCCAGCAGGGACAGACACCCCGCTTTTGCCAAACCCAGTTTTCTGTCCACTGCGTCAGCCACTGAAGTCACACTCCATCTCAGCACTTTCCTTTGGGTTCTGTGACTTCACCCTGTGTCTCCACTGGGATTTCTACTCAATCAAAACCTTCTACATGAGGTGCAGAAACAGCTGCGCTGAAGTTGTATTTCACAAGCAGTTAATCTCACTGAAAGTTCAAGTGACATTTAATGCTGCCATCCTCTGTTCAGCAGTAGCATTTCTGCAGCAAGAGCTTGCCAATTAATATTTGACCCTTTGACATGTATTTTCAAGACAGAAACCTGAATATTCACCTGGTATTTTTATAGGAAAATGCTATCATTCTCGCCACCAGGAAATGGGTAAGTTTCAAATACCCACTAACAGAGTGAACAGTTTACCGTTTTGTAGTACATATATTTCATACACTGCTATAGTGTTAAAACAGGTTTATTTCATTTTTATCAGAACCAAAAGATTTCAGGAATATGCTGTGTGTACTATCTCTTCATTTCTGTTAATAAAGAAGCTGATATTTGGATAAACAGGTTGGTATAACAAAGAGTATTTTGTTTCTTTCCTAACTAATTAGCCTCTGTAACAGCAGCTCATTCCTACCAACCCATTACTGTAACCTGCATTGCAGGGGCACAGACATTGACTAGGTCTGGCTTCTCTTGCTTTATATTTTAATTCAACTTTATCTTTCATCATCATTCCCACTAATAAATATGAAAAGGTTGAGTTCATTTATTTCTGCATCAGAAAAGCACTGGTCTCCATGGTTACTCAAAGCCATGTAGCTTTACTTTCACCACAACCGCTTTTTTTTTTTAACCCATTTACAGAATTTGCATCGAGTCCTCCATCTTGAGCTTTTCCACAGGTATTTTTAAAGCGAGCATTTATTTCTGTTGCTCCATATTGTACTCTGTGCAAAGCCAATCATCTGGAAAGTATAGAACCTTCTCTCTTACGCAGTTTTTCTTTCCCTAGACCTATTTTGCAGTCAAATAAAAACCCACCAACCACCCCCCCACCCCCAGGTGCAGAGCTGACCTCTGCCACTCCCCGTCCTGCTGAACAGCGTCTGCGTTACAGAACTGCACATCCAGAGGTCCATAACGGAAAGTTTATTTGCACCATTCAAGTTCTGTTACACAACAGCTTTTCACTCCCCGTTCCCAGTTTGCCAGGGAGAGCTGGAGGCTTCAGCCACCCGCAGTTTAGTGAATTTTAAAGTTTTGACACCGACTTCACGTTCTCTTGTAAAATCAGACCGTTGGTGCAGTTGTGCAGCCGGCAGTATTAGCATATTACTCGGCAGTTTTATCATGCCCTACTAAAGCCCCTTCAACATTCTCATCATTTGAAGTATAAAAATGTGAAGGTAAAGTGTGGGTTTGTATGTTTTCTTCATTGATTTCAGAAGCATATCAAGTGCAAACTCGTGTGAGCCAATCTTAGAATAAATGTTCCAGCCTCCATATCGCTCCAACATGATCAGAAACGGTTAATTTCCCTTAGCCAAAGGTCTGAAATGTAATACTTGCTTCTTCCTAATGTCATCGAGTATGAACTGTAAGAATAAACTCAGCCTTTCCTAAAAACCTTTTAGTCATCAAAAATTAATTATGTTGATACTCAGTACCTACATAGTTCATAGGAAAAAAGTCTTCAGTCCGGCAGGGTTCTGGCAGGTCACAGGAGGGTGCTGCTGCTGGAGGACCTCTCTGAAACAAGAACAGGACAGGAATCAATCCTATTGTTAAAGGGCAGGAAATAATAATGTAAGGAGTTGACCATGTAAAGAGACCTGGGGTGGGGAGAGGAATCAGCGACTCAGAACTGAAGTCACTTTCCAGTAGAAGATAATCATCTCTGTAAACAACGGTGAAAATGGGACGTTTACTTTCACACATGATTCTACAGCCTTTGCAGTCATCTTCACTGGATTAATATCGCAGATAAAAATAGAGTAGAACACAGGGGAAATCAGTTTTAAAGCACAGAAAAATGCAAATTAATTAGTAACACTGGAAAATACCGACTATAGAAGAAATACAGAAAGGAATTTGGCTTTGCTTATAAGGTTTTTAAGAATTCAAATAATCAATTAATCCTGAATTGAGGAGATAAAATAACATTTCTGCAGTGCAACAGTCCAAACCTCTAACTAAAACCACAGTCTCAATGGAAAACGAGGAGCACATCCCTCCCATAGAGCTAATGGTCATCAGGCTCTAACTTACCACATTTCCAGAGAACAGTTTGCTATTTAGATGTAATCGTCACACTTATTTGTATTTAATTCTCATTCACATGTTTCAAGCTGTGCATCTGGTTACAAACATTTGTTGACAGGATCCACCACTAATTCCTTTGGGATAGATACCAGCTCTCCTTACACGTCCAGGCACAATTTAAGAAGCAAATACTCATTTATACTATGACCTCAGACTGGCTACCGGAG